GATATACTCAACAATATTAGTACATAAATTATGGTAACAGGTGAACTTAAATTAAGTGGTTAATTAATGATTTAAGTTTAGTTCAGTCACATAAATTATGGTAACAAGATACTATTGTTTGGAGGGCTGTTCTTAATTACTTTCTTATAAGCATTTTTACATCTTTAAAGTTTGAAATTTTTTTAAAGGAAAATGAGAATTTTTAATAACAAAAGTGTTAATAAGTAAGGTCCTTTTACTATAGTTTTAAGTTTTGGTTTTGATTTTGATTTTTTATATATTTAATAATTAATGTTATATTTGGATTAAATTTAATAAATTTTAATTTTTATACTAAATTCTTATTTTTAAATATAATAAGAGTTACTAAATATAAAAAATAAAAACTTAAAATTATACTAAGTAGAGAAAAATGCAATGAGGCTTTTTTTTTTCTTTTTGCAACTTCAAACTTATGCCTCCTTTTTTTTGGCCGAAAAAAATTCTGCCTCTTTAAAAAATATATATATATATAGAGAGAAAAAGTTCCAAGCTATTCCTAGTTTCCTACTACTTATTCCTTTACTGTTATGCTTAGTATTGGGTTGTTTTTTTTGGGCCGATTATTTCGGCTTTGTGTGAATAAAAAGAACAAAACCCAAAGCCCATTTTTCTCTCAAAAATTGATAAATTGATTACGCAACGGAACCCAAACCAAGGCCCAATTCGAGACCCATAATTTTGCCTCACTTCTTTTTGACCTGCTTGGATAAAAACTAGCGGCAAATTTTTATTTATTTATATTTTTTAAAATTGGCAATTGGAGGAGGGATTATTTTTCAAGTCCTAACTCCGAGTAAAACTGGACACTGAATGCCAATTCAGCTGCAAATGGTTTGACAAAAAATTTTATATGTATATATCTATATATATAACGCAAATTAATTTAAAAGAAAAGTATTTGTCAATCGAATCTCAAAAAAATTGAGAAAAAAATCTTAAAATTATACCGTTTTAATAAATTTTATTTAAAAAATTAAAACAATCTATTCTTAAAACAAGATTGAATTTGTTTTGGTCTTTTTTTTGTGGTACTTTAATAAAATAACATAATTTTAAGATATTTTTACTCTTAATTTTTTGGAGAACTAACAAACAAATATCATTTGCTTAATCAAAAAGTGTAGTGCAGTTCGAACTATATTGAACTGTGTTACACTAATCATTAGATAAAAATGAACCTCTATTATTGAGAGCCCTTAATATTAGAAACCCTCCTTTACATTCAATTGTTTATATTTTATAATTTGATATAGTCCAAACTATAAAACTAAGTTCGTATTACTTAATTTAAACACATATAAAAAAAAAGAACTATTACACATCTAATTTTCAATACAGTTAAAACTTATAGAAATCAAATGTTGGATTAATTCTTTTATTCATGTATATCCGTCATGCTAAATTTCATATTAATTGAATATATATGTTTAATATGTAACCAATTCCCACCAAAATTGTTGGAATATAGAACTGTTTACTTGTTGGAAGTCTTAATATTAGCACCCCGCCTATAATGGCCCCTGCAAATCTTGCTATCAACCTCTAAGCATCTATTTGGTTATTTTATTTTTTTCTTTTTGCATCATCTATAATCCGTCCGATTCATTAACTGCAGTTGATCAGTGAGAAACTCCTTCATATATTCCTCTGCTGCAATGTCCACTGATGAGAGTGCCAATGCCAAGTAAAACGTTTCATCAATCGAGACTGATCATGAAACCGTAGCATCAACAAACCCTAACACAAGAAGGTGAACATGTTACAATGACATATATATGCATGTTGAAACACTTCTTACTAACCAAAATTTTAGGAAGTTTTAATTAATTTGAAATTAATATATATGATCTAATAGGAATAAAATATTTAATTTAATTATTGATTTTTAAAAAAATTAATTATATTTGTTTTTAAGCCTTTAAAAAAAAGTTTTAATTAAGTATCTAAAAAAATTTTAAAAGAACGACTACACTAACCTCTACCATCTTTCTATATATATACTAGAATTAAATAGGATTTTAATTACGACTTTTAACAAGTTTGAAATATAGTTCTATCAATTAATTGAGCGAAGGGATAGATTATGTATATGATTCCACAAGAAAAATGAACCTACAGCAACGAAAATTGCATGAGTACCACAATCATTATGAGTGGACGTATGCGTTGATAAATTGCTGAAAAGCAGTCTTGGGCAGTGGAAACCACTGCCTGATACCACAGGTTGTCCCATTTCGAATTTCCTTGAATAAGTTTATCAAGAAACCTAAAAATGAATATTCGGCCAAGGCATT